TCGGCCACCAACTGCTGGGCTTCAGCGAGAAGCATTTCCTCGAAGAGCGTAATTTCTTCGATGTCACGCCAGCGGATGCGATATTCCTGGTCGGGTGCATCGAACAAGCGCACACTGAACTGATCGGTCGGCTTGGGATTGAGTGGTACTTTCCGCTCGGGGAACTCGAGTGGTTCGACCTTTAACAACGTCTTGTCTGCGTCATTCAATTGAATGTGATCGAAGGGGCGCTTGTCGAGCAGCCGCTGACTGTCATCTTCTTCCTGTGCGTAGGAGACTGAAGCCATGCCTGCGAAAAGCAAGCAAAGGCCGAAGAATACCACGGCGCGCAGGCAAAGCCGATCGCGGGAGTGCGACTTGGCGAGGAGTTGTCCGAATTTGCTATGCACTCGTTTCACCGTACACCAGCTACGGTTGAGAAAGGTTGTAGACCGCGCCGTCATCTCCCACAACTAGCAGTCGGTTTTTCCACAGCACAGGTCCGCTACTAATGGGTAGAGCCAGATCAGCAACCGACAATTGTTCACCGGTCTCTGGATTGAGCGTCACGATAGATCCTGTTTGCGTGGCGATGCACAAGCCCTGGGGGCATTCGATCGGGGGACCCACAGGGGGACCGTTTTCAAGCGGAGCTTTCCAGAGAACCTGCTGCTGATCGTCCAGACACCATAGTTGATTGTTTGAGTCGACGACGAAAACGTGCGAGCCACTTCTCACCGGGTCTAAAGCGGCGCCGCCTCCGAAGTCCCACGAGTTGCCGACTTCGAGGTCTTCCATCCGCCACGCTACAAGCTTGTTGTTGGCAAGCAGGCCAAACACGGAGTTATCTAAGGCGGCGATGGATGAACCGAGCCCTTCGGTTAGGTTGGTCGAAGAGGCTGCTGCAAGGTGTGGGGTTGGTTCTTGTTGAACGCCCACGCGATAGAGCTTTTCATGATTGGCCAACAGGAGGTGATCGCCGGAAGGGCTGACGGCCGTTCGCCAGCGATAGTTGGTGTCGGCCTGAAGTGTTGGCTGGAATGGCTGCACTATCTCCGTGCCGGCGTTGGGATCGAGGACGAATACTTGCCCCTTCGAGCCAGGGATGAGAATACCGCCTTGGTAGGCGACAACCGGACCGCTGGCCGCATCGGGCAGGGTAAGCCAATCGAGCTTAACCGGGTCGCGTCCCGGTGGGCGAACGAGCATTTTTCTTCCGGATGAATCAACCGGAAATACCTGAGTACCGTCTTCGAGAACGATCGCTTTGGTGGGGGAACGCAACGGGTTGGCAATTTGTGTGCTGGCCTTCGGCTTTGCCGTTGAGTTGGATGCGAGATCATCGCCTGCGGCCAATTCGTATAGGGCTCCGGTGGAGCTGAGCAACGACAGCGCGTCAGTTTTCTCGTCGATCACTGGAGTTATGGCTGGCGGGGCCGAAAGTTCGGTTTGCCACAGCGGGGTGGCATCGTTCATCCGCAGCGCGCCGGCAATGATGCCAGGGCGGTTGGCATTGCGACGTACATGCAAAAGAATGTCGCCTTGCGAGGTGAGCGGCTGGAGGAAGATGCTGTCGTCGTAGCGAACCCCTTCGGCTACCAATCGCTGTTGCGAAGCGCGAATCTCGTAGTGAGAGAGTTTCTGTCCAGCGAGCCATAGATCGCCGCCGCGAACCAAGGGGTATCGAATCAGTGGTTCTTCATCACTAGCGGCGAGCTCTACGGAGCGCGTGAGCGGATTCTCCTGATCGGGCTTTCCGATATCGAACGTGTACCAGGCGCCGCGGTCGGTCGAGACATTCAGCGAACGGCCACTGACCAAGGGCGGGGTCATGACGTGCCCTTCCAATTCGATGGGCGGCAGCTCTTTCAGGTTCCTGCCTTCTTGGTCGGCAAGTAGCAGCCGCAGGCGGGATGACTTCAGTGCGTGGTTTTCAGGAACTATGAGATATTGCCCTGCAATGACGGGGGCCACTTGTACTGAGCCCGCAGCGTGGCCGAGGTAGACCACCTCAACGCATTCTCCCGTGTTGGCATCGACCACATATAGATTGGAGTGGTTGCCCAACTGGTAGAGCCATTGCCGGGTGGGATCGGTTGTTGGTGCTACTTCGAGGTTCTGCGGGAACTTGATTTGCCTGGAAGAGTTGCCCGAGGTCAGGTCGATTTCGAGCATCAGTCCATCGTTTGTCGAGAGCAGGGCACGATCGCCCACTAAGAGCGGTTGGGCCAGGCTTGGGCTTTCGGTTTGATGTTGCCAAAGCGTGTTGCCTTGGCGATCGACCCGTGACAGAACTCGACCTTCGCCTTCGAGAACGATGCAGTCTCCCTCGGATAGAACCAGCGGTGGGTCTTGGACGTTCAGTCCGACATGGCGGCGCCACAATAGCTCGCCCGATTCGGCATTCAGCCCAAACGCATACCCATCGGCCAATGCCGCGAAGACCTGGCCACTGAGACTTGTTGCCGGGTTTCCAACGGTGCGTGAAAGAGTGACCGTCGATTCCAATGCTTCGGGCGGTGGAACATTGCTCGCAGCCAATTCTTCAGTTTGCAAACCAACTGCTGCCTGTTGAGCAGCCGCGATTGCCAATACGGCCTCGTTCAACGAGGCATCGTCAACCAGATCGGGGTAGAGTTTGAGCAACTGCCGGCGAATCTCAAAGGCTTCGCCCGTCTCTCCAGAGTCGATCGCGGCATTGATTTCAGCCAGGGCCTGTTTCAGCGAGGCCCCGCGTTCGATCTCGCGCTGGGTGAGTGCCAGGGTGGCTTCAATGTCTTCGATTTGATTGGCTTGGCGGAGTGAACTGGGGACGTACTTATTCACCAGATCCAACGCTTCTCGACTCTGATCGATAAGCGATTCATCTTGTTCGTCGCGCGCGGCTTGAGCTAAGCCTGCGGCGAGACGAGGTAACAACGCGGCCAATTCATTGCGGGCTTGCTCGAACTCTTCTTCTGAGGAGATTTCAGAGAGCACCTGTTGGGTTGTGGCCAGGTTGCGAGGCCAGTCGTTGCTGTCGTCGATGGCCAGTCGCATCTGCGCTAATCCACGATGCACTTTGGCAAGGCTGATGCTTTTGGGGGTATGACCGGGGTAACCATCGATGTAGGCGGTGAACTTGCCGACTGCCTGAGTGTAAGAGCCGTTTTGATAGTCCTCTTCTGCTAGGCGAAATGCTTCGTCACCTGTTTGCCGGCCGACCACAAACCACAAGACACCGACCACGACGGCAATCAACAACAGAGACCCACCACCGATGAGGATCAGTGGAGAGTCCCAGCCAGGACGAGACTTCTTATTGATTGAAACTTTCGTCTTGCGGGGCTTCGAAGTCTCCAGAAGTGGATCGCCTCCGTCGTAGGCCCCCTCGTCGGCGAGGAAGTCATCGCTGTCTCCCACATCGCCAGAATCGAACTCTGCTTCATCCGCAACAAAAGCATCGTTAGAAACGACAACCGCCGCCACTTTGGGTTTGGAACTCTTGTTATCTTTTGAGTCTTGTTGTGATTTAGCCTTCGACTTCTTCTCGTTTGGCTCAGCCACAATGGTGGCATCTTGCTGCTTGACCTGGGCAACTGGGATGGCCTCACCTTCGATGGGGGCAAATCCCAGATCTTCGTTGTCCTCGGGAGGGGCATCGTCCGCTACTAGGCTTTCGTCTACGGCGGAGCCTTCATCGCGTAATGGCGAGATGCTGAAGTCGCGGAAGAAGAGCTCCAGGCTCGTGTCGGCGTCGGGCTCAATTTTGGAACTCGAATCGTCGTCGGTGGCCAGGGGCTTGGAGAAGAACTCGAGTCCCTCGGCATCCTGAGTAGTCGACAAACTGAATGGTTTCAAGGCCTCGATCACTTCGCCCGGCGTTTGATATCGCTCTTCGACATCACGCGCGAGCATCTTGGCGACCACAGCATCGAGTTCTGCAGGCACGCTTGATCGGATGCTGCTCACACTTGGCGCATCGCCTTGGGCGCGTGCCATGAGCTTTTCCATGGTTGTGTCGCCACCGAAGGGTAAACGCCCAGTCAGCATTTTGAACAGAGCACAACCAAGGCTGAATATGTCGGCCCGAATGTCGGCGTCTTTGAAGCTTTTGGCCGCCTCTGGGGCGATGTAGTCGGGGGTTCCGAACATCTGGCCAGCTCGAGTCAGGGTACCGTCCTCTTGGGTTTCGCTAGCGAAGCGTGCCAGGCCCATGTCTAAGATTTTTACGACGGGCCCGCCATGCTCGGCATCCCAGGTCATCAGCAAGTTGACCGGTTTGATGTCGCGGTGCACCATGCCTTGGCGGGCGGCGTGGGATAGGCCCGCGGCGGTTTGCATGGCACATTCGCATGCCGCTGAAATTGGAAAGGGCCCCTTGGCTCGCAGCCAACTGTTCAGGTCGCGGCCCTCGACGCACTCCATCACTAAGAAGTGCGTGCTGCCGACGCAATCGGCGTCGAAGGCTGTAATGATGTTGGGGTGGTTCAATGCCGCAGCGGCTTTCACTTCACGTCCGAAACGAGAAACCGCGTTCGATTGCTTCAAAAGGTGCGGCGACATCACTTTCAGCGCCACGGTGCGATCCATTACCGCGTGCTGTGCACGGAATACTACGCCCATGCCACCTTTGCCGAGGCGGTCGAGAAGCTTGTATCGTCCTAGATAAAAACGGTTGCGGCCGGCAAGCAATTGGCGCGCTTGCCAGGCGGTGATGAGGTCTTTGGAGACAAGTTGTCTAGCCACCCGCTGAGCATTGACCGGCCTATCCGCTTCTTGAATGCGGGTGCGCAGCTTGGCGATCTGCTTCACCGTGAGCAAATGGCTCTGGCCGAGCAGATCAAGGAATCGATTTGTTGGGATAATTGCCATAGCCTCGATCACTGTCCCTAGCTGATACGGGTGTCACTTCGCCGTGGTTCGCGATGCGGTGTGGCTCCGCATCTCTGTGGAGGCCTTCTAACGGCCCTAGCCTCCGTTGGCGATTGGGTTCAATTTTGTCGGTTACTTTTACTTGGTGAGCTGGTGTTCGCTTGTAATTACAACGAGTCCTCCGAAGAGTTGCCAAGGCGGACACTATCCATTCCGACCGCAGTGCCGGCGTCTAATGCCATGATAACTAATTCGTAGCGAGCATCGGGATCTGCGGTGACCAATAAGCTGCTGGGTCCGCTCCCCGCACCGTCTCCATCGCGGGCTCTACGCAGCATCGAGAGCATTTCTTGCGAACTGGGGGCTTCAGAGCCATCGACCCAGATGGTGTTATCGCCATCGATCCGAATGATCACGAAGTCATCGTCTTCTTCGAGATCTTCGATTGTCCGAGTTTGGGACACGCTGTCGGTCGTGTCTGGGGGGGGAACTTCGATCGACTTCTGCAGCGCGAAGGCGGCGGTGACCATGAAGAAAATCAGCAGCAAGAACACAACGTCGACCATCGGCGTCATGTCCATCAATTCTTCTGGACCAGAGTCTTTCCGACGAACATCGATGATGTCTGAATCTTCGCTCGAGCTTGGTGCCGGGAGCGGTGTGTGTTCTCTCGTGTCGGGGATGACCAGCGGATGTTTGCACTTGGGGCACTTGACCGCTGCGCCTGCAAAGCGATCGGCCACCTTAAGGCGTTTATCGCATTTCGCACATTGGAAGCGAATGGTCACGCCGGGCTACTCCGATTCCAAGACCGCAAAATGCAGGGAGACACCGTCAACGAGCCCCACCGCTGCAGAAACCCGCGAGACGTCGTGGTACGTGATTCCTTTGTCGGCCTTGATGATGACGCTGCTTTTACCCTCTTGAACCGCCGTGCTGACCGCTTCGCGAATCGCTTCGGTTTGTTCTTCCTCGGTGCCGGGTAGAGGATCGCCCACAATTCCTTCGGCCAGGTAAACGCTGACTTTGTCGCTGCCGTTACCGGCCAAGGTGAGGGTAAACGAGTTGTTCTTGCTGACCGACGAACCATAACGCGCCGGGGGCAAGTCCACTGCTTTGTTAGGGTCGGGCACTGAAGCGACGATGAAGAAGATGAGCAACAGGAATGTCACGTCGATCATCGGCGTGATGTCCAATTCGGCTTCTTCGCGCACGCGGCGGCGCTCTAGGATGGGGGCATCCTCAGCCTCGGGCACGTCGCTTAATAAGGAATCGACTGGGGGCATGGTTTATCGCTTGGCCTCGACGGGGTCTAGCAGTGGCCGTAGTCCTTCGAACAGCCGTGTAAGTCCGATGCCCACAAGATCCTCGAGTTGACGAATTCGAATGTTGATGCTGGTGGTGCAAAGCGTGAGCGGAATGGCGATCGCCAGTCCTAATGCTGTGGTGATCAGGGCAACCTGAATATCGCCGGCGAGCGCCGTGGGGTCGACGTTCTCACCACCGGTTGCCAGCTTGGCGAAAGCACCCATCATGCCGAGCACGGTACCGAACAGCCCAAGCATGGGGGCACTTTTGATCACGGTGTAAACCCAGCTCAAGCGATGCTCGAGATCGCCGAGAACATCGCGCTGATAACGATCGACCACGAAACTCTTCAGTTTGGCGTAGCCCAGATTTCGTTTTGATACAGCCAGAAGTGCTAGTTGCGGTACGACTCGGGCGTCGTCTTCGCACATTTCTTCAACGGCATCGAAGTCTGCTATTCTCAGGGCCTCATCCAGTTGGCTTAAAAACTCTTCCTGGCTCTCTTCATTTTTGAAGCGGCTTTGAGAAACGCGACGCCATACGACAATTACGGAGAATGCCCCCCACAGGGCCACGACGCCGAGTGCGACGTAACACATGTTTGCCAGAAAGTTGACAACAACACTGATGTCCATGTTCGCAGGTCTCGCTTTCGCTAGCTGGCCGTAGGGCTCTGTGGGGTGGTATAGAATTACAAGTATGATTGCTCGATAACATAAAACTCGTATCCGCCTCCGGCTTGACGTACGCCGAAGACCGTTTTGCGAATCTCACTCTGATCGCGGTTCCGGTAAGCGAGTTCCAACCCAAGCAGAAGGTTTTCGACTTCGGGCGGATAGAACTGGACGAAGAGGCGGCCATCGGTCTTGATGCCGGCCCGGTTCAGAAGGGCTTTGTCGGCGGCCTTAAGTGACCCGCCTTGCCAAGACATATACATTCGCTGCTCTTGGTCGCCAGGCGCGGTCCGCTGAGTCGGGGTTTTCGCCGAAAGATTTGTAGCGTAGTACACCGTGCTGGTGGCACCGATTGCGCCCAGTTCGATATTAAAGAAGTCGAGCTGTTTGGCGTACTCGTCTAGAGTCGCACCGTCTGCGAAGCGAATCTCCCACCGTTGCGCGCGAGGTACACCAGGCGAACCGTCGCCACTTCCCAGCCCAGGGGCGCGACCATCACCGGTTGAGGCGCCACTTCGGCTCGAGGAGATCTCATCGGTAAGCGAAGGATCTGCAAGGTCGGCCTGTCGGGTGGCGATGGTATCCATCACCATAGCCAGGGTTTCCTGCAGCTCAGGCTCATCTTCTAGATCGGTCTCTTCTGCGATCTCATCCTGGTTGGGTGATTCGATCTCGATGCTTTCTCCGGCGATCCCTTCCAGGGAGCCTCCCCCGACATCCTGCATGACGACTGGGACGGCCTCTTGCCGGGCAAACACTCGATTGGTGAACCAAACCACAAACAGAAAGACGGCTGCCAGGCTGAGGAATATCAACAGCGAAATCAACAAGCTGGCAACCCGATCGTACATCGAGACGTTCATCTTGCCGATGACGATGGGTTTGTCTGAATTTTGGCCCCTGGGTGGCGCTGTGGCCATGCTTACTTGCCCGTCACTATTTCACGACTATTCTTCGAACACGGCATCTGGGCGTATTCGACGGTACCACTGTTTCCAACGTTCAATTTCTGCTTTTAGGCGGTCGGGAGAGAGCACTCCCTCAGACTCAAAGTTATCGAAGCGCCGGCTGATGAATCGCAATGAATCGCGGGCCGCCAAGAACACGCGTTCGTCGGGATCGGTGAGTGCGTAAATTAAAATCGGCACGTTGTCCAAGTTGCCCGTGCGGCCTAATGCCACGACTGCGGCCCTACGGGCGTCGGGGTCGCCCTTGGCGGCGAGTTCTTTGATTTTTGCCTCATGCTCAGTGAGCGTTTCTTCATCACCCATTCGGGCAAGATCTTCGAATCCCTGGACTGCCTGGTCGTGATCGGCACGGCTGGGGTCTTCGATCAGTTTCAGCAGTTCTTCTGCCGGACCGGCTAGGGGTTTGGCGATGACCTTCCCGCCACGCATTTGCACCGGCCCGTCTCCGGTGGGCAAGCCTCGACCACCTACCAATGTACCTGCCCCGAAGCGGCCGGCATGGTTGAGGCTCTTCTTAGTTGATCGCAACAGGAACAAAATCGCGAATGCGGTATCACACTCTGACCCGGTTGTGCCGGAACTGCGCCAGCTGCCGTTGTCTTTTTGCGAATTCAGAAGGAACTTTGCCCCTTCGTTATACCACTCGGGTTCGATTTCTACTGAGTTTTCAGCGACCTCTCTAAAGGAGCGATACCGTTCGTAGGCATAGAGGTAGTAGTGAGTGTAAGGCGTGGCATCCATATCGTGGTTTTCGACAAACCACTCTGCACCATCAGCGGCTGCAGAAAGGATTCGACCGGAATCAACCTTGTTTGTCAGACGACGCTTTGTTGATGATTCGTCTTGAACTACCTGCAAGGCACCAGGGAGGTTCGACGCAGGTCTCGGCGAGTTACTTAATCCCAGATGATCGCTGCAAACGTATAAGCTACCCAGACCAGCAGCGGCCATGCTGTGTCTGATCTCAGTTTGTTGTACGCGGCTATAACTCCCGGAATCTCTCCCCTGGTATCCAAAAGCACCTGAAGGATCTTGTGTTCGAAGGAGCCAGTTACTGACCCGCTCCCAAGTGTCGACAGGCGTTTCAATTCCTGCCGCTCCTGCTTCCCACATGCTAAGCACGGCATATTGAGTCATCGATGTATCGCCGGTGGCGCGGTGATCGTATCCCCATCCACCATGCTGCTTCTGCCGAGCGTACATGTGCCCCAGGAGTTGATCGATCTCAGAGCGATACTTCACGGGGTCGAGTGTGATCAGAAAAATGATCGACAATCCGTTGGTGTACACATCTTCGGAGTATTTTTCGCCGAGAGTCCCTTGGACGCTTTCCAGTGCCTCTTGGATATATGGGTGGTCTTCTTGCCCATTCTTCAGAAATGCCAACGCAATGAGGGCTTTCCCGCCAGGGCGATTTTCAATGTGGGTTTCTAGGTATTGAAAACCACTCTTGACGGCCGCAACTACCTCAGGGCTTTCTGGTGTAAGTGCGAGACAGGGGCGAGCGCATAACACTAGTGAGACCGACAGCACGGCAAAGAACGCCCTGCGGCCAAACGAAAATCGCCATCGCGGAGGTCCAGTAGACCGTCTCACCGGTAGTACCTCGTCTCTGATCCCTGTTCCGGCAGGGGGCTCCGGCAGGTGTGGGTGAGAAAAGGAGCATCCGCCAGATGCAACCAGCCGGGATAGGGTAGGAGCGTGCCACACTATTACTGATAGTACTAACAGCCGAATGCGGTTGTCAACCAAATGCCCTTGCCGGAAGTCATTGAAACTAGAGGGTTTGGTAGAATTCTAATGAGTCCAAACCAATTGACAGTGGGGGCCCGACCACTTACGATGTTTGCTTCGTTCGAGCACCAAGAGTGCGGTGGACGATTTAGGGACAGGTAGCTCAGTTGGTAGAGCACAGGACTGAAAATCCTGGTGTCGGGGGTTCGATCCCCCCCCTGTCCACTCTTAATTCCCGTGGCCTTCTGTGGTTACGGTTGATGAGGGCCGGTGGCCTTAGATCTCCAGCGTCAGATTGCCTGGTGCGGTTCCGCTTCCGGCTCAGCCGCTGTTGTGGCAGTTGCTCCCTCCAGCTCAGTGTCGAACCGCATTGAAGTTGCAGACTCCCATGCGTTCGAGCCGGTGAACTCGGCTCTCCCAAAACACAGCATCCTCACCCTGAACGAATCAGGGTGAGGATGTGTGGGTGCCACGAATGGGTTGAACCATTAGTCGATGCCTAGTCTGAGAGGTCGCCTCTCAGGGGGAACCGACTTATTTGATAAACAGCATTTCCTGGTAGGTAGGCAGTGGCCACAGATCATCGGCCACCACACCTTCGAGTTCGTCAGCAAACTTGCGAACCTCAGCCATGGCCGGCACGATTTCATTGCAGTAGTAAGCGGCTTCAGCTTCTTCGCTGTCACCGGCTTCCTCTGACATTACCTTCTCTAAGTTGGCAATGCTGTCTTGCATACACTTGACCAGTGAGGTCACCTTCTCCAGCGTGTCGGTATCGAAATCGATCTCGAGCAGGCGAAGGTTGGCACACGCTGCGGACAGTTCGGTTTGATACCGAATTGCCGCGGGGAAGATCAGCGTCTTCGCCATCTCCAACGTGAGATTGGCCTCGACCTGAACCGTCAAGCAATACTGCTCCAAGTAAATCGACAAACGGCTTTCCAATTCGCGCTCAGAGAGCACGTTGTATTTGGAAAACACCTCTTGAACTTCGGGGGAGCCCAGAACTGGAAGGGCTTCGGCCGAAGTCTTGAGATTCAGGAGGCCGCGTTTCGCAGCTTCGTTGTGCCACTCTTCGGAGTATCCATCTCCATTGAAGATGATGTTATGGCACTCGTCGATGACTTCGGTGAGCAACGTTTGGATGGCCTCGTGGAGCGACTTGGGATCTCCAGGCGTGGCCTTTCCTTCGAGGTACGATGCACAGTAGTCGAGCGACTCGGCCACGATGGTGTTCATTGCCACCAACGGACCAGCGATCGACTGATTCGAACCTACCGCTCGGAATTCGAATCGGTTACCGGTGAAGGCAAACGGGCTCGTACGGTTGCGGTCGCCAGCATCCTTGGGCAGCGGCGGCAATACATCGACACCGACGGTCAGCGTGCCCTTGGCAATTGAAGACTTCGCACCACCGGCCTTGATTTGGTCGAAGATGTCGGTCAATTGATCACCAAGGAAGATTGAAATGATCGCCGGAGGAGCTTCGTTCGCTCCCAGACGGTGATCGTTACCGGCGGTCGCCACAACGGCACGCAGTAATCCCTGGTATTTATAAACGGCGCGAATGACTGCCGCGCAGAACACCAGGAATTGAGCGTTTTCGTGAGGCGTTTCACCGGGGTCCAGAAGGTTGCCCTGTGAACTGCTTCCCAGCGACCAGTTCACGTGCTTACCCGATCCATTCACTCCCGCGAACGGCTTCTCGTGGGTCAGGCAAGTCATGCCGTACTTCTCGGCCACCTTTCTCAGGGTTGTCATCAGCAGTTGCTGATGGTCGGTAGCCAGGTTTGCAGACTCGAAGGTGGGGGCAATTTCATATTGTCCCGGAGCGACTTCGTTGTGACGAGTCTTGACGGGAATCCCCAGCTTGAACAGCTCACGCTCCGACTCGAGCATGAACGCCAAAACACGGTCGGGGATTGCACCAAAATAGTGGTCGTCGAATTCTTGACCCTTTGGAGGCTTAGCCCCAAAAAGTGTTCGCCCAGCATTAATCAAGTCGGGACGAGCATAGAAAAAATTACGATCGATCAGGAAGTATTCCTGCTCGGGACCGGCTGTCGAGGAGACGAACGACCCATCCTTGTGACCAAACAGCTCGAGAATACGCTGAGCTTGAGTATTCAAGGCCTGCATCGAACGCAAGACCGGAGTCTTCTTATCGAGGGCTTCGCCGGTCCAGGAGACGAACGCAGTGGGAATGCAGAGCGTCGTACCGTTCGCATTCTCCATGATGTAAGCCGGACTGGTTACGTCCCAGATGGTGTAACCGCGGGCTTCGAAAGTCTGTCGAATCCCGCCGGTGGGAAAGCTAGAACCGTCGGGCTCACCTTGGATGAGCTGGCTGCCGCTGAATTCGGCAAGCGTGCTTCCGTCGCCGCTGGGGGACAGGAAGCTATCGTGTTTCTCGGCCGTGGCACCGGTCAAGGGGAAGAACACGTGGGCGTAGTGGGTGGCTCCTTTGGAGACAGCCCAATCTTTCATGGCAGAAGCGACTACATCAGCAACCGTCGGGTCTAGCTTTTCGCCGACTTCAATGGTTCGCATCAGCGACTTGAAAATTGGCTTGGGGAGCCTCTTCTTCATCACCGCTTTGCTGAACACATTCGCGCTGAACAGATCCTGCGTGGCTTCGTCAGAGTAGCTGAACGGAGCCGGTGCATGGTAGTTCGTTACGGCGGAGATTGCCGCCATACGGGCACTCGAACCAGCTGCAGAATCAGGGGTCCGGCCTCCAGAAAAGCCGGGGGTTCCTGCGCCTTTGGTGCTCTTGCCATTGGATTCCAGAGTGGTACTCACAAGTGGTTCCTTTCTTGAGGTTTCGACCGGGAGAATCCCGCCATTCTTGGGGCCCGGACCGAAGTTTTCGCCTAGCCACTCCATGGCTGTGATGCTGCGAGCAATATCCGTTGCCCGCGAATTCAACCCGTAACCGCAACTTGCGTGCCGCTATCACTGAAGTTCGTGCTGAAAGTTATATCCGCTCGAAGTACCTGAAATTAAGGGCTGATTAAGGGCGCGAGTTTCCGGTCAAAATGAGGGGCCCCCAGAAGGGGAAGGGAAATTGCCGCGCAACTATGCAGCCGATGAGTAATCTACAGTCAATTGCAGACTCTTTTGGAGAGACATTGCGGAGTGGGAAGGGCGGGTGCAATGCGATGAGTCTGCAGCCTCGAAATGCGTTAGGAGGCTTCGAGGGACTGCTGGCCGGAAGATGTGTAGCTGGGGCTACTGCACCTGCTACCCAAACAATTCCGTAACTGGCTGTCCCTTACCGTCTTGCGTTGCATAGAACGGTCGTCGCTCGACCTCGAAAGCAGTACGAGGGCTGATTCCCATTGCCTTGAAGATCGTGGCGTGCAAATCGGTGATGGTGACTGGCGTTTTCGTCGCAACGCAGGGGCGTTCTGCAGCGGTTTCGCCGTACAAAAGCCCGCGTTTCACACCGCCACCAAACATCAAAACAGAAGAGCCTCCGGTGAAGTGGCGATGTAGCCCGTAATGTTTCATCTCGCCGAGCACATCGGCCTTTGCCCGCGACTGGTCACGCGCGGTACTGCCGGGCACCCCTTCGATGATCATGTCGCGGCTGAATTCACTGGCCAAAACCACTAGAGTGCGATCAAGCAGTCCTCGCTGTTCCAAATCGAGGATTAGTTGGGCTACTGGACGATCGATTTCCCGCTTCATACGTTCGGCTGTCTCGTGGCCGTTTTCGTGGGTGTCCCAGTGTAAGAACGGAACATATTCGGTCGTGACTTCGATGAAGCGGGCCCCCGACTCGACGAGACGGCGAGCCAACAGGCATCCTCGGCCAAAGTTGCTATCGCTGTAGCGGCCTGCTGATTCTTCCGGCTCTTTCGTCAGATCGAACGCGTCACGGTGTTTCGAATTTAACAATCGATGAGCGTTCTCAATCGAACGAAGCATCGACTCTTGTTGGAACTCACTTACTTGACCCGCCTTCCGGCTTTCTTCAACGAGTCTCTGGTAGGCGCGGTATCGCTCTTTGAATCGGGAGGCTTCCATCGACTTCGGGGGGCGAACCGCACGCGCGGCATCATCAGGCACGGGTAGATTAAAGGGGCCGAACTCACTACCAAAGAATCCACCGGTAGTGAAAGCTTTGAGTTCCTCAGACTCTCCAACACCTTCAAGACGCTGGCCGATATTGATGAATGGTGGGATCACGGGGTTGTTTGGGCCCAGAACTTTTGCCATCCAGGCACCAATGTGCGGTGCGGCCACTGTTTGCGGTGGGACGTAACCTGTGTGCCAGTGATACTGATGCCTTGAATGCAGAATGTTGCCGAGGTCGGGCTGGACGTGTGAACGGATGAGCGTCCCGCGGTCCAAAATCTGGGCGATGTTCTCTAGCCCTACGCTGATCTGCACATCGTCCAACGCAGTGTCGATGGCGGGAAAAGTGCTGATAATTTTCTCGACCGGAGTCCCAACCTCGAACGGAAGATATCCCTTTGGGTCGAACGTTTCTGGGGCGGCCATCCCTCCGGCCATCCATAGCAGAATACAGGAGTCAGCCGTAGCTGCGGGATGATTCTGAGTTGTTGCAGTCTCCTCGGCAAACAACCGCTTTGGTTCAGGCATGGCCAGGGTAGCGGCGCTTGAAGCGGCCATTGCCTTGAGGAATGTGCGTCGGGTCTGAGATTCGTGCGTCGTGTGATCCATGATTGCTCAGCGTATCAGTTGGAACTCGGGAAGCATGAATACTGCCCACTGCAAGTCTTCAATCGAAGCGGGCGACGGCGTGGTACCAAGAATCTCGCGGGCGATTGCTGATTCACCTGGTGTCGGTGTTCGCGAGAGGGCGAAACGATAGAGCCACCCAATCATCTGATCGGAACTCTCTTGTTGAGCGAGAACGTCGCAGCCTTGTGTAAGTATTTGCGCCAACAGAGGGCCGTTGGCCAAATCAATCGCCTGCAAGGTGGTAAGCGCCGTTGGTCGGGAAGTAACAATTTGCTCACGGTTCGGTCGACCAAGCGAACGCATCAGCAAATCGCTCTTCACGAGAGCGGCCCGTACTGGAGAGCTGTCGTCTGGCCGTTGCACTCCGGCATCTTGTTGGGCGGCACCAGAGTTGGTGATTTGCCAGAGAGCATCGATGAACTGCTCGGCCGTCATTCTCTTGCTCGTGGGCCCACGAAATACAAACTCGGCGACCGGAGAATCTGTTTCACCAACGCTTTGAGTTTGGTAGACCTGCGAGGTGGCGATCAGTTCGAGAATGGCCTTCAGGTTGTAGTCCTTCTCGGCGAGTTGTGTGGCCAGAAAGTCAAGGAGATCGGCATTCCACGGTTCGGTATGCATGGCATCCACCGGATGCACAATTCCGCGGCCCATCAACCGATGCCAGAGACGGTTTACTATCGTGCGAGTGAACCGCCCGTTTTCTTCGTGAGTTAACAGTGCGGCCAGTTGTTGGAGTCGCTCGGGGCGAGGGAGCGATGCGTCGATCTGTCCCAGTTCAGGAAATATCCAGGCTGCGGCGGCCATTTGTCCGGTGGGTTTGTCGCAGCGATGCAGCTCTAATGGCTCATCTGCATATATGGCCGCCAAGCCATACGTTTCTTCAAGCGTCCAGCGGTCGATGAAGCTGTCGTGGCATGAGGCACATTTCATGTTAATGCCCAAAAACACCTGCGAGATGTTCTGGGCAAACTGAATTTCGCGAGTCTGACTGGCGTTCACTCGACCACGCCACTTGATTCCTCCGATAAAGCCTTCGGACTCTGGACCGGGAGCGATCAACTCACGCACGAATTGGTCGAAAGGCCGATTGTCGAGCAGTGCCTGATAGAGCCACGGAGTGATTTGCTTGCGGCCGCCATCGATGTATCCGGTGCCGGCGTAATCGTTACGGAGAAGATCGTTCCAAAACGTGAGCCAATGCTCGGCGTACGCCTGCCGGTCTGCGAGTAGTTCGCGGATTACGCGTTGTCGCTTGCCAGAGTCTTTATCGGTGACGAAGGTGTCCAGTTCTTCAGGCGTGGGAAGCAAGCCCACGAGGTCGAGATAGACTCTGCGAAGGAAGGCGTTGTCGCTCAGTCTTTGGGGGCGCTCGACCTTTTGATTCGCCCAGTAGGCATCGATGATGCGATCGATCGGATTCGTACGGCCGTCGGTCACCGGCGGCAGTTCCACTTGGCGTGGTTTCAGGGGCGGTTCATAACGCGCGGCGGCAAATGAGAATCCATCTTCCCACTTCAACCCTTGTTGTACCCAGGCCTTCAGTTGCTCGATTGCTTCAGGCGAAAGCTCGGGCTGATCTGCCGGAGGCATACGCAAGTCTGCGTCTTCCGTTGTGATACGCTCGACTAATGTCGACGCCTCGGGCTGCCCTGGTACAGCCGCTTCTGCATCGAGGATCAGTTCCCGGGTATTCAGGGAGAATCCACCTTCGGCCTCGTCACCGCCGTGGCATTCTGCGCAGTGCGTTTTTAGGATTGGCACAATGTCATGCGCGAAATCAATGGTTGGGCTTGGGGCTGCATCTTCTTTTCCCGCAACTTTCGCTGAATAGCCCAAGACGATGCTTAGGCAGGCTAACGTCTGAAGGATGCGGCGAAGGATTTCGCGTGATGATAGACAACGCATGGAATGCCTGGGGGAGGGTAGTGGGGAGGGAGAGCCATTCACTACCTAATATGGTACATGAACCCAAGCGACAGCAGAAGTCAGAGGTCGCGTGGAGAGGGGCTGTGTCGGCCGGGGTCATGCAACGCAGCGGCACCGGGATAGTGGCAATTGCGGAAGTAGGGCGTCCTAGCGTGAATCGGTCTTCGGGCTGATTTTCCACTCAACGACCCGCCCTGTCCCGAATGGACGAGCGGGACCGTCTCTTTCGCTGCCAGCGCCAATCAGCCGGCGACCATCGGGGCTGAACGCGATACAAAACAGCTCGGTCAACGGTGCTCTTAGCTTGCAGATTTCCTGACGCGTGCGCACATCCCACAGGCTGATCGTAGCCGACATGGCGGCCCCTACGGCAAGCGTTTTCCCGTCCGGGCTGAATGCGATGCTCATGACCCTCCCGTCCTCACTCTGTAACGTGCCGAGAGAGTCGCCAGTCAGTGCGTCGACAAGCACGATGATTCGATTACCAACCGCCGCTGCGACCACCTGGCCATCGGGGGAAAAAGTCACTGATCGAGGGTCGGCCTCATAGCGCCTTCGCTCCCACAACTGCTTCCCAGTGTTTCTGTCCCACATTGCTAGTTGTCTCGAACAGGTCGCAATGAGGTTTCCGTCCGGAGAGAACGCTACATAACCTACAAAATTCTTGTGTGGAAATGTTTGAAGCTGTTTACCGGAGTCCAAGTCGAGAACGTGCAACTTATTCGACTCGGAGGCAACCGCCAGCAGCTCCCCATCGGGCGATATCTCTACCGCGTTGACTCCCCCTGGATAATCTCCTCGCTGCCATAAAAGCTTGCCCTCTTCTAAATCGACGTAGTGAATGTGAGGGTGATTCATTCCAGAAACCACAGCATGTTGCTTGTCAGGGTGGAGTGCGAGAAATGTTCTCTTGCCTGCTGTGGGAACCCGATAAGAGGACAGCACTTTGCCTTGTTCGATATCCCATGTTCTGATGCGACCACTCTGATCCGATGTGATCAATGCGGGAGAATTGCTTCTCGTTGCAATGTCCCAAATCCATCCGTCGTTATGTTCGTAGTGGGATGCGCTGGATTGATTTGCAATGCTCCATAGCTTTACCGTTGTGTCCGCTCCGGCGGTGGCCATCAGCTTGTTGTCTGGGGACCAGGCGAGACTCCAGATTCTTCCAGGATGACCTTGAATTACCTCACCTTCGGTTGCGTGCAGTGTTGATCCCTCTTGCGTGAGTTTCCACAGCCGCACGAATCCATTTTGGTTGGCGTTGGCGACCATGGTCCCATCAGGAGAAAAATGCGTATCGCGAATCCAGCTTTCGTGATTGCTGTTTTCGGGATGCTCGACACATTCTCCCTGGGAGATGTCCCAGACGTATAGACTTGAATCTCGACCCGTTGCAACTAGGTGTTGACCGTCGGGATGGAAATCGATGGAGAACAAAGAGCCATCGGATTGCAACAACGGTGGGGCGTGTTTCCAGTGCGAGGTGTCCCACAAATGGATGGCCCCGACCTCATCGCAAGCCGCGAGCGTTTGGCCGTCGGGCGAATAGCGGATGCAACGAACGATCCCCAATTCAGGATCAAGCGTTCGTTCCAGCTTGTGGTTGTCCAGGTTCCATATCCGAATGACCTGGTCTCGTCCCCCGCTGGCTAGCTGTCGCCCGTCGGGCGAAAAGGCCACCGTGAGCACGTGATTCTGATGACCTTCAAGTGTGAACTGCTGATCGCCAGTCGAAACATCCCAAACAATTATCTGTTGATCTTCGCTACCAGTGGCAAGCTGAGTTCCATCGGGCGAGAATGCGACGCACGTGACCTCGGTCGTGTGCCCGTTCAGGATATGAATCACTTCTCCTGAAACTGCATTCCAGATTCTTGCGGTGCCGTCTTTACTTGCGGTGGCTAGCATTGTGCCGTCGGGAGAGAACTCGACGGAGAAGACATCGTCTTCATGTCCTGCAAGTGTTTGTACTTCTGCGTGGGACCGTTCCCATAGCCAGTGCCAAGCAAATTCTCGGAGATCGACTTGGCCATCTTCTGGGATATGACGTTGCAGCAGCTCAATCGTTCTGGTTCGATTCAAAGAGTTCCAGGCGTCGTAGGCTAATCGTAGCTCTGCAGAGTACAAGAGTTGACGGCTTGTGAGCGATTCAGCTTCCGCTCGAGTCCGTTCTGTTTCGGCATTCTTCAGTGCCGTCGATAGACGCGCGTTGTAGATCCAGGTGCCCACGATCAGCAGAGACAGCGAGACGAGGCTTACGAATACCAAAGCGGCGGCCGTGGGACGCCGTCGAGCCCATCGCCACGTGCGACGTGTGGGACCGATCGGGCGGGCAACAGTTGTTTTTCCTTTTAAGAAACTGTCTAAATCTTCGGCCAATGCCGCGGCGTTTGAGTAGCGGTGAGAGGGACGCTTTTCGAGACACTTTAAGCAGATTGCTTCCAGGTCCCGAGGGACACGTGGTCTCGCGATCCGTACGAGCGGTGGGTCGTCGCTGACGATTCGCCGCAAGGTATCGATGTCCGATTCGCCCCGTAACGGTGGCTGCCTCGTGAGCAACTCGAAGAGAATCGCTCCCAGAGCATAAATGTCGGTTGCCGGGCCGATCTCGGCGAGCCGTCCTGCCGCCTGCTCGGGCGCCATGTACGACGGTGTACCAATCATCGCCCCGGTGTAGGTCGCCGTTTCGGTCGACTCGCGTAGCTTGGCTAAACCAAAGTCGGCAATCTTGGGCGTGTAGTCGCGAAGATAGGGCGAATCCTTTTTGGTGCTCAAAGGCTGCAGCAAAATGTTGCCCGGCTTAATGTCGCGATGGACGACACCCCGTTCATGGGCGTGATTGAGCGCTTGGGCCAAGGTCAATACTAGTTTTGCAGCTTCTTCAATCTCCAGCGGGGCTTGCCGCTTACTTAGCCATTGGGCTAAGGAGGGACCTGGGATGTAGGCCGCAGCGATGAAGTTGATCGGCCCTTCTTCACCAACTTCATAGATGGAGACAATGTTAGGATGATCAACCGCGCCAGCAGCACGGGCTTCTCGTAAGAAACGCTCGCGAAGATCATCTGAAACTAGTGCCTCGGGGCGAGGGATCTTGATCGCCACCTCGCGGCTTAACTTGGGGTCGAAGGCTCGTAAGACGACGCCACATCCCCCGCGGCCGACTTCTCCTCGCAACTCGAAACGTCCCAGCGTGTCAGGGAGTTCATCGGCGGGAAAAGTCGAAGCGATTGCTCCTAGCTGGCCGGTCAGCGAAATGCGGCTGGTTCGCTCGCGGTGAACACCCTCGAGCAATTCCATACAACGCACCAGGTCGTTGAGTTCCGCGGCCGACTCCTGCGAAAGCCCGGCACGGTCTGCTTCGAGTGAGGTGACGCCAGAGCCATCAGCAAGAACCTCGTCGTACCGTTTAACCAGCTCATAAAGTGCCTGGTCGTCGGGCGTGGGGTTCGGGTCGCTCGTCATGTAAGGACGCTGAAGCCAGATTGATCGAGGTGGGTGAGTTTCTCTCGCAGTTGCTTAATCGCGCGAAACCACAGTTTGCTTACGGCGTCCTCGCTGCGCCCCATTCGGTTGGCCACTTGTGCGAATGGCAATCGTTCGAGACTGCGCAGCTCTATTACCTGGTGGTAGTCAGGAGGTAATTGTCGCAAGGCATCGAGCAACTTTCGCTCGCGCTCATTCCCGATGGCATATCCGCTTGGCGATGGATCGTGGCAGGCAACTTGAAGGTTGGCCTGGCTCGAGTCGGCATCGAGCGCTTGCTCGTCGCGAATGTCACGCTTCGCCGTACCACGAAACCGTCGTCCGGCATCGGCGGCTTTATGCAACAAAATCTGACGTAACCATGCAAACAATTCGGCTTCGCTACCTCCGCTGAAGTTGCGGAAGTTGCGGTGGGCATCGATGAACGTTTCCTGCACTAAGTCACTGGGAGCAATCTTCTGTTGCAACTGAGCATCGAGCGAACGATTGGCAATTAGCAGCAGATACTTTCGCGTGGCTTCGAGCAGTTCTCCCACATCGTGGTTGGTCCCTTCGCGCGCGGCTGCGAGCATGCTCGACAAATTGCCGGCTGAAAGCGGAGGCGGACCCTGGCGGGAGTGAATCATCTTGGCCCCTGAACAAGAAGCGTGAAGGACGTCAGAAATCCGACACGTCTGCGCTGAATTCTCCGTAATAAATCGGTCGGAAATACCTAAGCCGAGTTTATTTCGACAGTTGCAAAGCGTCAAAGAATTTTTCGGCGTCCGATTCCGCGAATTTACCCGCTCAACGAAAAGGCAGGGGATTTAGCGAGGTTTTCTTGAAACCTGGCAGACTCGGGCAAGTGCGAAATATCCGTCCAGAAGCAAACTCGATAGCACCTGACACCACTCGCGAATAAGGCAACGCTAATGACGAGGCTGACGCAGATTATCACCATTGTTCTGTTTCTAGGAGTTATCTCGTTCTGCTGTGCAACGAGAGCTGCAATTCTTCTTCCCGGAGGTAGCCCCGACCCCAACTTCTCGGGGCTGAACGTGTGGTACGACGCCGGATCGATTGGGATTGCGGATGGAAACGCGATCGACGCTTGGCACAGTTCTGCAGCGACCGCTAACACTGCTGCCGCATTCACTGCCGCGAGGCGACCGACTTTCGTGGTATCGGGGCTTGGTGGATTGCCTGCAGTCTCGTTTGACGGCATCGACGATCAACTGCGAATGGCCACGAGCTATTTCTCGGAGGCCTCTGCACTACCACTCACCATTTTCACAGTACTGCAAACTTCTGATACCTCTGCTCATGTGATCGGCACAGGCTCCTCGGGAAACGGATATTTGAGCAGCTTCGGGTATGGGTTGGTTATCGATGGATCAGCGTCACTGAAGGCAAACTTTAATAGCAATGGTATCTACCTTCAGGCGGCAACCACAGACTTGAGTAACGGAGGGTTGGTAACCTCCATCGCGGCGAACGCTGGTAGCTCGATCGCGATTAATGGGTTGACGGAGAGTTCCGACAACGTCAGCAGCCTCTTTCCGTATTTCAATTATTCTCAAGCGACTCTAGGGGCTAGCGACGGAAGTGGTAGCGGTAACTCTGTAGACCCCTTTGCAGGTTCAATCTCTGAGATTCTTGTCTACGGAAGCCTAAGTCCTTCGGAAGTCGATCAGGTCAACGACTATCTGATGGACAAGTACTTTCCGGTGCCTGAGCCATCGTCACTTGTGCTCGCCTTTCTCGGTGTGATCACTCTCTGCTTTACGGTTCTCCACCGACGCGGTGCAGGTCGAGCGATAGTGAACGCAACGTTTGAAAGAATAGGAGACCGCTAATGAACCGCTTTCATTTCATCCTTCTTGTTCTACTTCTGTGGTCTGGTAACCCCTCTGTGCAAGCAGGTCCATACAGTTTCACGGTGCTGGGCGAACTCCCCGGGGGCAGTACTGGCACAACCCCAACTGCCGTCTCGGGAGACGGGGCAGTCGTCGTTGGAATGGGGTACTCGAGCTCCGGCTCTGAAGCCTTTATGTGGACAGCAACCGGAGGGCTCGTCGGACTCGGCGACTTACCTGGCGGAATTTTTCAGAGCAGTGCAGACGGCATTTCGAATGATGGATCCACCATTGTCGGTCGGGGCTGGCCGGCTTCTGGAAGTGATATCTATCGCTGGACTGCTGCCGACGGGATGGTTGTCTTAGGGGAATTGCCGGGTGGTGCATCGTTTGGGCGCGCTGATGCGGTGTCGTCCGATGGATCGGTGGTGGTCGGCTTCAGTAATACCGGCTCCGGAAACGAGGCATACCGCTGGACCGAATCTGGCGGAATGGTCGGGCTGGGTGACTTGCCGGGTGGAAATTACGACAGCCGAGCTAACTCAGTCTCGGCAAACGGCGATGTGGTCGTCGGGTATTCAAACTCATCCTTGGGCATTCAGGCATTCCGTTGGACATCGGCAACCGGAATGGTCGGGATGGAAGACTTACCAGGAGGTGGCTTCTTGAGCCAAGCCTGGGATGTATCTGCTGACGGACAGATTATCGTCGGCCGCAGTCTATCAGCCTCTGGTCATGAGGCGTTCCGATGGACCGAAGCGGGTGGAATTGTGGGCCTGGGTGATCTTCCAGGTGGAAATTTTTTCAGCCTTGCGAGCGATGTCTCTGGCAATGGCTCTGTAATCGTAGGAGTAAGTGCCACGTCGAAGCCTTTCAATGAACCGTTCATCTGGACCGAAGCGCACGGAATGCGACTTCTCCAGGACGTGCTAATCGATGACTACGGCCTTCCACTGGATGGATGGACGCTGAGCGGACTGGGAGGGATCTCGGACGACGGTCGCACCATTGTCGGTACCGGCTGGGATCCCAACGGCAACCGACAGGGCTGGGTGGCAGTCATTCCTGAGCCGTCGTCGTTCATTCTTGCCGCATTTGGTGCGGCCGCACTCTGCGTGATTGCAGTACGACGTCGCCAGACTTGATGAGCATCCATTGGAATTTAGTTCGATGTCAAACCGCGACTGACAGGGGAGTCCGCTAATGACGAAACACGCCACGATTCTGTTTGCATGTATCTTTCTTTCTTCAACTCACTTGGTCCAAGCGGGGCCGTATAGCTTCACGGCGCTGGGCGATTTGAGCGGTGGGATATTCAATAGCTTTGCCGAAAGTGTGTCAGCAGATGGTTCAATTGTTACTGGCACAAGTTATTCGAGTTCCGGTCGTCAGGCGTTCCGGTGGACTCCCTCGGGTGGTCTGGTTGGCCTGGGTGATTTGCCTGGCGGAACGTTTGATAGCAGGGGCTACGGGGTTTCTGACAACGGAGTAATCGTAGGGCGAGGAAGTTCGAGTTCTTCTAGCTCCGAAGCTTATCGAAGTAGTTCGGGCGTCATGTCTGCGCTGGGAGACTTACCTGGTGGATCTTTTTCCAGCACCGCCTTGGGAATCTCTGCCGATGGCCAAGTGATCGTGGGAGGCAGCTACTCGTCCTCTGGATTCGAGGCGTTTCGTTGGACTTCTTCCGGTGGCATGGTCGGCTTGGGCGACTTGCCGGGTGGTGGCTTTTACAGCTATGCGAGAGATGTATCCGATAACGGTTCAGTAGTGGTCGGTCAAAGCCAGACCCCAGAGACCGAGGCCTTTCTCTGGACAGCACAAGATGGAATGGTTGGTCTTGGCGATCTGCCAGGTGGGCAGGATTTAAGTGTCGCGTATGGCGTTTCCCCTGACGGCTCTGTGGTCGTTGGTGTCAGCGGATCTACTTTGGGGTATGAGGCGTTTCGCTGGTCGTCCGAGACCGGGATGGTCGGGCTCGGCGATCTTCCTGGGGGGAACTTTAATAGCTATGCATACGGCGCCTCGGCAGCAGGAGCGGTCGTCGTGGGAAAGAGTTGGGGAACTTATACCGGAGCAGGAGGGGACGAGGCCTTTATTTGGTCAGAAGCACACGGCATGCAGAACCTTCAGGATGTTCTGACCAACGATTTCGGATTCGACCTGACCGGCTGGAAACTTCGCTCCGCGAACGACATCTCCGCCGACGGCCGCACCATTGTCGGTTACGGGACAAACCCTGATGGAAATGTCGAAGCTTGGGTTGCGGTGGTGCCGGAACCCTCCTCGTTTCTACTCGCCGCATGTGGTATGGCCGCACTCTGCCTGGTTGCGATTCGTCGTCGTCATGATCGCTAGGTCCTCTTTCGCAACTCGGCGCATTCGCTGCGGTGGGGCTTGTCACCATCCTGCTACGTCGACACCACCACTTGCTAACAAACTAAACTGACACCACCTGAAGAATTAGCACCATTGAATTAAGGAGTCTGCTAATGACACGTCTGGCAAGAATATTGTTTGTAAGTTTACTTTTTATAGCACCGAGAGCCGCTGATGCCGGCCCGAACTTCTTTGGGTTAGGTGACCTTGCCGGAGGACTTGACGATAGCCGTGCGACAAGTGTGTCTGCGGACGGAACAACTGTCGTGGGACACAGCGAAAGTGGATCGGGTACACAAGCATTTCGCTGGACCATCGGAGACGGGATGGTCGGGCTCGGTGATCTAGCCGGAGGGTCGTTTAGCAGCTTTGCCAACAGTGTTTCGGCTGATGGAGCCGTAGTGGCTGGCCATGGCAACAGCGCGAATGGTCTCGAAGCCTTCAGATGGACTTCTGGTGGCGGCATCGTGGGCCTTGGCGACCTGCCTGGCGGAAGCTTCTTTAGTGTCGCCAGCGGCATCTCGGCCGACGGCTCGGTCATGGTCGGTTCCAGTTCTGGCGGCATCACTAAAGGCTTTCGGTGGACTGCTGGCGGTGGGATGGTGGCATTGGGCGACTTGCCTGGGGGAGGGCAAACGACCAGCGCGAATGATGTGTCGGCCGATGGATCGGTGATTGTAGGTCAGAGTGAGAGTGCTTCCGGAGTTGAGGCCTTTCGCTGGACTGTGGGAGGCGGCATGGTCGGTCTTGGCGATCTACCAGGGGGATCTTTCGGCAGTTATTCACAAGCTGTATCGGCTGATGGTTCAACAGTGGTTGGATTCGGGAACTCGGTTTCCGGAGGAGAGGCTTTTCGATGGACATTTGCCGAGGGCATGGTGGGCCTAGGCGATTTCCCTGGCGGATCGAGCTTCAGTGTCGGCAACGACGTATCGGCCGACGGGTCGATCGTAGTTGGGCGCGGTCAATCCGCATCCGGATCCACGGCGTTCATTTGGGATGAAACGAATGGGATGCGGAATCTGGCCGACGTGCTTACGAATGAGTTCGGTCTCGATCTCACTGGTTGGGACCTCAGGGAGGCCACCGGCATTTCTGACGATGGCCGCACCATCGTCGGTTACGGATTCAACCCCAATGACGACCTCGAAGCCTGGGTGGCCGTGGTGCCGGAGCCGTCCAGTTTTGTTCTAGCAGCGTTCGCGTTTGCTTCGGTCTGTGTGGTTGCCCTTCGACGTCGACACAATTCCCACTGATCGGATCGTCGAGAGAATTCATATAGATAGGGAGCACGCTAATGTTATTGAAGAGAGAAATACCGTGGCTGTTGATTCTCGCGTCTCTCGGGTTGCTGGTGTCTCCAGCATACGCGGGTCCAAGTTTCACTGGCCTGGGCCATCTCTCAGGTGCGAGTCCCTACAGTTACGCCTATGGGATCTCAGCAGATGGTTCCACGGTGGTGGGAACTAGTAGTTCCAGTTCCGGCGACCAGGCATTCATCTGGACGATGGGGGGCGGGCTTGGTGGTCTCAGCGATCTTCCTGGGGGGAGTTTCGGCAGCGAAGCTTATGGCGTTTCGGCTGACGGGTCGGTTGTGGTCGGCAAAGGAAACTCGGCTGCTGGTGCAGAGGCGTTCCGCTGGACTTCTTCCTCCGGGATGGTGGGGCTGGGAGATTTACCCGGGGGAATTTACTTCAGCGAGGCACAAGGTGTCTCGGCCGATGGCTCGGTGATTGCAGGCACGAGCCAGGCGAGTTCGCAAAGCGAAGCATTTCGCTGGACAGCAGGCAGTGGAATGGTCGGGTTGGGAGTCTTGCCCGGTGGATCATTTGGCAGTCTCGCTCAGGATGTCTCGGCCGATGGCTCGGCTATTGCAGGAACCAGTAGTTCTGCATTGGGCATCAACGAAGCGTTCTTGTGGACCTCTGCGGGAGGAATGGTCGGACTTGGCGATCTTCCTGGCGCAAACTTTCACAGTATCGCGAATGCCATCTCGGCTGACAGCTCAACAGTCGTTGGTCGAAGCAACTCTTCTTTAGGTGCCGAGGCATTTCGATGGACAGCTTCCGACGGGATGGTGGGGCTGGGAGCGCTTCCAGGGGGTAGTGGAAGTATCGCGCAAGCTGTCTCCGGCGATGGGGCCGTAATTGTTGGGGCAGCGGACCTGGGATTCTTCCTCGGTCAAGGGGCCTTCATTTGGGACGAAACGAATGGCATGCGAAATCTGCAGACTGTTCTCACAAACGAGTTCGGTCTCGATTTGACCGGTTGGACACTCAAGGAAGCCCGCAGTGTGTCGGACGATGGCCGCACGATCGTGGGCTACGGTCTGAACCCAATTGGGAATCCAGAGGCTTTTGTGGCCGTCGTGCCTGAGCCTTCCTCCCTTGTCTTGATAGCGATTGCCTTAGGAATGGTCGGGGTAAAGGCTGCACTTCGTAGTCAGTAGTCTACTTTCCATTAACTCCTCGACGTACATAGACATTTCCGCATGGTGCGGTCGACAGTCCGGAGAACGCTCATGAAGACAATCAAGAAGCTCATGCTCGTATCCGTTGTTTTCCTTGTAGCATCCAACGCCCGTGCAGCCCCGGTGAGCTTCATGGGGATTGGGTACATCCCTGGCGGGGCCGAGTCGAGTTTCGCCCACGGGGTCTCTGCCGACGGTTCCGTCGTGGTTGGTCAGGCGTTCTCTTCCCAGGGCTTTGAGGCCTTTCGTTGGACTTCGACCGGAGGAATGGTTGGGCTCGGAGATCTAGCGGGTGGTGGATATCAGAGTGGAGCGCGTGGAGTTTCCGGTGATGGGACGACCATGGTCGGGCAGGGGCTTTCGAACACAGGCGAAGAGGCGTTTCGGTGGACATCGGCTGGCGGAATGCAGGGTCTGGGGGATCTCCCTGGCGGTACTACCTATAGTGATGCCCGTGCGACATCGGCCGATGGTTCGGTTGTCGTGGGACAGGGCGAGTCTGCTGCAGGAAGTGAGGCGTTTCGCTGGACCGCTAGCGGTGGCATGGTCAGCCTGGGAGATTTACCCGGCAACTCAACCTCCAGCGCGGCGTACGGAGTTTCGGCGGATGGAAATGTTGTGGTCGGGCGAGGCTTCTCGAACGCCGGCTTCGAGGCCTTTCGCTGGACCTCCGTGGGGGGAATGCAGGCGTTGGGTGATCTGCCGGGTGGATCTTTCGACAGCTTGGCTCGTTCTGTTTCGGCCGATGGGGCAGTCGTGGTCGGGCACGGATTCTCAGACGATGGGATGGAAGCCTTTCGTTGGACCGCTGGCGAAGGCATGGTCGGTCTGGGCGATCTACCAGGTTCGGCCCATCACAGTGTGGCCACAGACGTTTCGGCTGACGGTTCAACGATTGTCGGAAGAGGATTGACCGATCTGGGAAGCGAGGCGTTCATCTGGGACGCCGATCATGGGATGCGAAATCTGCGGTTGCTGCTTACAGATGAATTCGGGCTCGATCTCACTGGGTGGTCGTTAAGCGATGCAACCGCGATTTCGGATGACGGGCGAACGATCGTCGGATCGGGCATCAACCCTGATGGATTCTCGGAAGCCTGGGTGGCTGTGGTGCCAGAGCCATCTTCAATAACGCTGGGCGCTTTTGCGCTTGCCGCGTTCTGTCTTGCGGCCGTACACCGACGAAGATCGAGCTGATAGGCAACGAACTGGGAACTCCGCCAGAATGCCGAAAAAATCGAACTTAACCACGTCTCCGGGTGGACTTGCAGCTTTCATTTGTCGACGTATAATGTTGCATTCTGATTTGGGGACGTAGCTCAATTGGTTAGAGTTCCGGACTGTCGATCCGGAGGTTGCGGGTTCGAGTCCCGTCGTCCTCGCTTGTGCCTCTGCGGAGGCACTTGTTTTGCGCAGCCCCCTATTTGCGGCCTCGCACGCTGCCAGCAAGGCGGACCCGATTGTGAGGCGGGGCACTCTGCGTAGTCTTCTCCCTCTAATGGCGGGAGTGGCAGTTGTCTATTCTGCCCGATTCGATTACCGCCCTTGATCGGGCCATTCAATTATCGACTCGTCCGGTATGAAATTCCGCCCCCAACTTGCTCCTTGAAGCTAGCTTCTGTGTTGCCGCATGCTGTGTGGATTTCTTGACACTCCTCAATCTATACAACCAGAGGCTTTTCTCTGTATCCCGTGTCCTTGTGAATTCGCCCCGCTGACGGCTTCACAGGTTCTTGGTATTACGGGAAATACAGTCGGAGTGTGCTTTGGGGTTGCCAACAATCCTCTTGAAAATGAGAACCTCGTCCGAAAGCCTGAATTATCACACCCTTGCTTGTTACTCTTTTGACACTACCGCGTATTCATACTTTGCGACATTCCATGGTGCAGATTCTTTGCTCAATTGATGCAATTCATTAGCCCAATTGCATTGCTGTGATAGACTTCACTTGTGTCTCACCCAAGTGGATTGCGCTTTTGACTCGGGCCTGTGGTAAGCCAAAAGTCCCACCCCGTGATGGCAGTTTAGCTAGCCGTTCGAGGGGCTATTAGGTTAAGGGTGACTCAAAGTAAAATCAGGGGCTATCGAAATTTCAGGGGCAGATTTTTCAGCAAGTGAAACCCTGAAATCTGTTCCAGAGGGAGTGAGTTTCTGATGGCAAAGCGTCGTGTGAATAAGGCTCAGGCAATTCGTGATTACTTGACCGAACACGGGATTGATACTCCGCCGAAGGATATCATCGCCGAGTTCAAGGCTAAGCGAATCGCAATTTCAGCAGCCCAGGTTAGCAATATCAAGACAGAGATGCGCGGTGGCAAATCCGCATCTCCCCGTGGCCGCAAAGCTGCCGGTAAACTTGATATGGATTCGCTGATCGAGGCCAACCGGTTTGTGAAGCGAGCCGGAGGTATCGACGCAGCAAAGCAGGCTCTTGAAGCCCTCGCGAAGCTGCAATAGTCGAACTTCGATCGAATCTGAATCTACATTTAATTGCACGGCAGGATCTCAAGTTCTGTTGTGCAATTATTTCCCCTCGCTATATCCTGAGCCTCAGGTCGATGCTCGGTCTTGTCGGCATGCGCGCTCCTAGGGGTGATGGTCCCCAAGCCAGTACATGATTCTGTGCGTTTGGGCACGCACAAGTTGCAGTACAACTGCCTAAATCCAGTGCTCGGCGGCTTCTCATCCCTTAAGGTTTAACTCCCAGATCGCTGGTGGGAATTGCAATGCGCCTCTTCAATCGGAAGGTTGGCCGGTCGCATTTCCGTCCGTCGTTTGCGAGCTGCATTCAAGCTGTAAGCCGTTGCCAGGATGGACGCTAGCAATAACAATATGAGGTTTGTCAATGAGCAACCCAGTTTGGTCTGTCTTGAAGCTAGGGGAGAAATTACTTCATGACCACCGTCGACCGTGAGAAACAAATCGCCGAGGCCGAGGAACTGATCGGTGATTCGACTGCAGAAACTGGGTTAGCTCGTGCCTTGTACTTCGGCAGGTTTCAAAATCAGTCGATGCCTCCTTATCCGGTATTCGAACCCGATACGGAAGCGGCCCGTATCTTGGCCCAACTGAAAGAGTTCGTGGCCAATAAGATCGATCCAGTCGATATCGATCGCAACTCTCGAATCCCAGACGATGTGGTGAGTGGTCTTGGGGAATTGGGCATTCTCGGCGCATGCCTTCCCACAAGCAGTGGCGGGCGTGGACTGAATCAGGTTGACTATTGCCGATTCATCGAAGTCATCGGCGGCCACTGTGGTGGAACCGCGTTGTTCGTCAACGCACATCACTCGATTGGGCCACGGGCCTTGGTCCTCTTCGGCACGGAAGAACAACAAAAGAAATACTTGCCCAAGCTGGCTACGGGTGAACATCTCAGCGCGTTCGCCCTGACCGAAGTTGAAGCCGGAAGCGACGCTTCGAATGTGCAAACGCAAGCCACTCCGACTCCGGACGGCTCGGGCTACATTCTCAACGGACAAAAACGCTGGATCACCAACGGTGGCATCGCAAAAGTGCTAACCGTGATGGCTCGCACTCCTGCGGAAGACGGTGGCGACTCGAAGATCACCGCTTTTATCGTCACACCCGACATGCAGGGCTTCGAAGTTCTCGAAGAACGTATGGACAAGTGTGGTGTTCGTGGAAGCGCCACGGGACGCCTGGCCTTCAACGACATGTTCGTGCCCAAGGAAAACATACTGGGCAAACTGGGCGGCGGTTTGAAGATCGCCCTTACCGTGTTGGACTTTGGCCGTACCACGTTTGGTGCCAGTTGTACCGGGGCGGCAAAGTTTTGTGTGCGACGCTCGGCGGAGCATGCCTCGCGACGCGTGCAATTCGGCGAGCCTCTGGGCAATTTCGAACTGGTGAAAGACAAACTGGCCTACATGAGCGCCGGAGCGTTCGCCATGGAGGCCTGCACTTATCAAACCGCGGCCCTGATCGATGCCGGCGGCGACGATTACATGGTCGAAACCGCCATGCTGAAAGTTTTCGCCACCGACGTGTTGTGGCGAATCATCAACGACACCATCCAGATTTATGGCGGGAAGGCTTACTTCACCGACGAGCCCTTCGAGCGAATGCTCCGCGACGGGCGTATCAACCAAATCGGGGAAGGTGCCAACGACGTGCTGCGGGCCTTCGTCGCCCTGGTGGGTATGCGAGACGTAGGGATGGAACTGAAGGGCATTCTGGATGCCCTCGTCAATCCACTCGGCCAGTCCAACTTTAGCAAGATCGGTGGATTCGCCAGCCGCAAAGTCGGCTCGCTATTTGTGTCTCCCTACGTCGACGTGCAGAGTGTCGAGCTTGAAGACGATGCACAGCGTTTGGGCCGACTGGTGGGGATGTTCGGAAATCAAGTTGAACGTTTGCTGCGAACGCATCGCGAATCGGTGCTCGATCGCCAGTACTTGCTGGCTCGCGTTTCCGATACGGCCACCGAACTCTATGTCTCGGCCTGTGTGTTGTCCCGCTTGGACAGCATTCTCAGCAACCGCAGCAACGGTAGTTCGCCCGAGAGCGACCTCATCGCTGGCCGTTACTATCTGAAGACAGCCGAACGTCGAATGCGGCAGAACCTTTTGGCCCTGTGGGATAACGACGACGCCGAAACAACAAAAGCGGCCGACTCACTGCTGTCTCAGTATTCGTCGTAACTGCGGCGTTGTTGATCGAATACCGTCGGAGAGTATTTAGTCGTCGATGCGCGGGATCTTGCGCTGTTGCTTCTTTTGCGACTTGTGGCGTTTCTTTTTGAGCCGCTCTTCGATCGATGCGCGCGAGCGTCTCGTGGGCCGCCGCGGTTTCGGTGGTTTGGCCACCGCTTCGATCATGCTTTGCAGCCTCAGCAAACAATCGTCGGCGTTCTGCTGTTGGTGGCGATATCGCTGGCTGCTGAGTATCAACTCGCCACCGGTTGTAATCCGCCGCTGGTACCGTTCAAGAAAACGTGTGCGTACCCCGTCCGGCAGAGCAGGGCTCTCGGTCACGTTCCACCGCATAACCGCCTTGGTGTTCAGCTTGTTCACGTTCTGGCCCCCAGGCCCGGAACTGCGGACGTAGCTGAAATCCAATTCAGTCACCGGAATCGCGATGTTGGGGGAGATCCGCAGTGTGGTCATCGAGTTACCCGACGAAAGGGCTGATTGCAGTGGCCGCAAGAGTTCAGTCGCCCGGCCACCGTACCTGAATGTACTCGGTTCATATAGAGCCGATTCTCCCATGGCGACATCCCGTGGAGGGCAAATGTTCGCGGATTCACGCAGTCATCGGTCATTCGGGGGATTTTCTTTTCGTGTTTGCTAAAAATCGGCCACAAATCGGGTTATGATGAACGGCCCCAAGGGATTCGGTCTTCTCGACCATCCCCGCAGCGATCCCTCCAACCGTGCGAAGGACCCGCCTTAATGATTAGACGGTGTTTCACTTCTTCTGCGTGTTGCCATTTGCGACAACTCGCCAGCCTTGGGCTGATTTTATTGGCGCTGTTCTTCTTCGTCGCGCCAGTGCATGCAGACGAGTCGGATTGGCATCTGGTTCCCATACCCGATTCTTGGAAACAGCAGCCCGGCGGTGAGTTGGCTACCGAGAATGGCTTCTCTTGGTACCGCTGCTACGTCGATGTCCCGGCCGAATGGGAAGGGCATCCGGTCGAGCTGAACATTGAACCGGTAGACGACGCCCGGCAAACGTTCGTCAACGGCACACCGATTGGCGCCACGGGCACGTTTCCTCCGCAATATCGTAGCGGACTGGGCGAAGAATCGCGGTTTGCGGTGCCTGGCGAGTTGCTGAAGTTCGGCGAGACGAACGTGATCGCGATTCGCACCTATATGAAAGATGCCCGTAGTAACTTTCTCGTCGCAGCTCCTATACTGCTTTCCGGGGAACGAGCCATTCGAATGGAAGGGCAGTGGGAATACCGGCCGGGAGACGATCGAGAATGGGCCAGTATTGTGCCACCCGCGGCACTTTCGGCCGAGGCCCCCGCTTTCTTTCACACGGTGGACGAGGTCGATGATATCGAGCTGTATCTCCGCCGGCGCGTTGGCGATACCGATCCGCTCTCGCCGGACGAGGCGCTCGGTAGCTTCACGGTGGCCGACGATCTGAAACTCGAGCAGGTACTGGCTGAGCCACTCGTAGGGCAGCCGCTGTTCGTGAACTGGGACGAACGCGGACGGCTGTGGGTGATGAACTATCAGCAGTACCCAAACCCTGCCGGTCTGAAGATGCTGAGCCGCGACAAGTTCCTGCGTAGTGTCTACGACAAAGTGCCGCTGCCCCCGCCGCACGGAGAACGGGGACGAGACAATATTTCCATCCACGAGGACACCAACGGCGACGGAGTCTTTGATAAACACAAGACCTTCGTCGATGGGCTCAATATCACAAGTTCGTTCGTTCGGGGGCGAGGTGGTGTGTTTGTGTTAAGTCCACCGTATTTACTGTTCTATCCGGACGTCGATCGCAACGATGTGCCTGATTCTGATCCGGTTGTGCTGCTGAAAGGCTTCGGCTTTGAAGATTCGCACTCCATCGCTAACAGCTTACGGTGGGGGCCCGATGGCTGGCTGTATGCCTGCCAGGGAAGCACGGTTACTGGCCAGATCATTCGCCCGGCCATCGATACCACTCCCATTCATTCGATGGGACAGCTCATTTGGCGGTATCACCCTGAGACAAGGCGTTACGAGGTTTTCGCCGAAGGGGGCGGCAACACGTTTGGCCTCGAAGTGGACGATAAGGGGCGGATGTTCTCGGGCACGAATGGTGGAAACACTCGAGGGTATCACTACGTGCAGGGCGCCTACGAGCGAAAAGGTTTCGAGAAACACGGCGCGCTGTCGAACCCATATGCGTTCGGCTATTTCCCCGCCATGCAGCATCACGATGTGCCGCGCTTCACGCACAACTTCATTATTTATTCCGGCAATACTTTACCCAAGCAATACCACGGGCAACTCTTCGGCATTGAGCCCTTGCAGGGGCAGATCGTACTAAGTGACATCTGGCCCGACACGACTACGTTTGCGACTAAAGACCTCGATCGTCCTGTTCAGTGTAGCGATCAATGGTTTCGGCCTGTGGATATCAAGGTTGGCCCCGATGGTGCGATTTACTTCTGCGACATGTATGAGCAACGGATCGACCATTCCAGCCACTATGCCGGTCGAGTCACCCCGGATACGGGACGGGTGTATCGGGTTCGTTCGAAGGAATCGATGCCGGCGGAGGCGTTCGACTACGAGCAGCTCACCACGGCGGAGTTAATTGAGTTGCTCGATCACCCGAACAAATGGCATCGCCAGACAGCGCTTCGAATTTTCGGCGACAGAAAAGATCGCAGCGTGATTCAGGCGTTGGTCGAGGTCATTCAACAGAATCAGGGCCAACTGGCGCTCGAAGCCCTGTGGGCGCTGAATCTTTCCGGCGGCTTCACGGAGTCGTTTGCCACCGAGTTTCTGGATCATCCAGATGAGTGCGTGCGACTGTGGACGATTAGGCTTCTCGGAGATAGCGGAAATGTTTCCTCAGAGCTGGCGGCGAAGCTGACGGATCTGGCCGCCCAAGAGCCGTCGGCTGAAGTTCGCAGCCAGTTAGCCTGTTCCGCCCGCCGACTTCCGGCCCAGCCGTGCGTGGCGATTATCCGCCAGTTGTTAACCCACAGTGACGACGCCAATGATCGGCACATTCCCCTCTTGCTGTGGTGGGCCATCGAATCGAAGGCAGGAGAGAATGCCGACACTGTGTTGGCCATGTTCGATGATCAGGCGTTCTGGGACTTGAAGCTGGTCGAAGAACACTTGCTCGACAAGATCATCCTCCGTTACGCACTTGCTGGATCTCGCAGCGACTTGCTGGCCTGCGCCAAACTACTATCGCTGGCCGAAAAACCTGAACACAAAAAGATCTTGATCGACGGATTCGAAGCAGCTTACGCGGGTCGTTCGTTGTCGAATCTGCCTGACGAGCTGATTGCGGCGATTGGCGCCGTTGGGGGCGGTTCGGTGATGTTGCAGGTTCGGCAAGGAAAGCCCGAGGCGATTCAAACCGCGCTAGATACAATTTCTAACTCTTCTGCCGGCTCGGAAGAACGACTGCAATTCGTTCGTGTGTTCGGTGAAATTGTCGCGCCGCAAGCCGTTCCAGTGTTGCTAGAGATTGTGGGGAGCGATGCGGATGAGTCGCTTCGCGCAGCCGCATTGCTGAGTCTACAGTCGTACGGGGACGCAGCAATTGCTCAGCGGGTGATTGAGCTGCACAATTCGTTCCCTGAGACCCTGCGTTCCACTGCCCAATCGCTGCTGGCCAGTCGACGGGATTGGACCAAGATGTTTTTGGCCGCGGTCGAGTCGGGAGCGATCGAGGCTGCCGCTGTTCCGGTTGAAGTGCAGCGGCAACTGCTGTTGCACAACGACGAGGCGGTGACGAGCCTTGTTAAACAACACTTTGGCGAAATCGCCGGTGCCACCACACAGCAGATGCAGGCTCGCATCGATGAGCTGAATGAGGTGTTGCAGGCCGCGAAAGGGGCTGGAAACCCTTACACAGGCAAGGAACTCTACAAAGCCGAGTGCGGGAAATGCCACAAGCTGTTTGCCGAAGGTGGCGACGTCGGGCCAGATCTGACCTCATTCAAGCGAGATGATATCCGTGGCATTCTGCTCAACGTGGTGAACCCCAGCGCTGAGATTCGTGAGGGCTTCGAGAACTTCACTGTGTTCACCGACGATGGCCGCATCGTGTCGGGCTTCCTGGCCGACCAGGACAATCAAGTTGTGGTGTTGCGGGGTGTCGATGCCCAGAACGTGGTGGTGGCACGCGATGAAATCGATGAGATGGTGGCGAATCCCAAGTCGGTGATGCCGGAGGGCATTCTCGACAAGCTCGACGAGGAACAGATCAAGCATCTGTTTGCTTATCTACGCAGTACGCAACCCTTGGCGAACTAATGCAAATTGTCAATCGTGCCTTCGCTGGCATGCCTTATGTTCGGAGACATCATCATGCTGACGGATGGCGGAAGACAATCTCAAAGCAGTAATTCGGTTTCCCGGCGGAGGTTTCTCAAAACGTCTGCTGCAGTTGGTGCGGCCACATTCGCTGCTCCCGCTGTGTTACGAGGGCGGGGCTTGAACGAGAGGCTAAACATCGCCGTCATCGGTTGTGGTGGGCGTGGCGCTAGCAATATGGGTTCCGTCGAATCGGAAAACATTGTTGCTCTCTGCGATGTGAGTAACGAGAACCTCGATAAGGCGGCAGCCCGTCATCCGAATGCTCGGAAGGTGAACGACTTCCGCAAGTTGTACGATCACGCGGGCGAGTTCGATGCGGTGGTGGTCAGCACCTGCGAACATACGCATGCCTTCGCCACATTGCCGGCGTTGCAATTGGGCAAGCACGTGTATTGCGAGAAGCCGCTGACTCATAGCGTGTGGGAAGCCCGGGTGATTCGTGAGGCGGCCGCCAAAGCGGGAGTGGCGACGCAGATGGGCACGCAGATTCATGCCGGTGACAATTACCGGCGGGTTGTCGAGTTGATTCAGTCCGGCGCGATTGGCAATGTCCGCGAAGTGCACGTGTGGGTATCGCGCGCATGGGGATGGCATGCCAACGAGGCCGACTCCAAGCAGGCGGGCGACATCGTTTTCGTTCAAGATCGCCCGCAAGAGGCCGAGCCGATTTCCACCGGGTTGGACTGGGACCTGTGGTTGGGGCCTGCACCAAAGCGGCCATTCAATAGCGTCTATGTGCCCGGCCCGAAGTGGTACCGCTGGTGGGACTTTGGCAACGGAACGATGTCCGATCTAGGCAGTCACTGGATTGATCTGGCGTTTTGGGCACTCGACTTGAGAGTTCCGCTCTCGGTCGAGGCAGAAGGCCCCGCGATCCACCCGGAACTGGCCCCGGCTTCGATGCAGGTGAAATACGAATACGGTCCCCGTGGGGATCAGCCACCGGTTTCGCTTACCTGGTATCAGGGAGTGAACAAACCGGCGATCTGGAGCGAGGGTAAGATTCCGCAGTGGGGCAATGGTGTGCTCTTCATCGGCGATGACGGTATGGTGCTTTCCGATTACGGCAAACATACGTTGTTGCCGGAAGAGAAGTTCCAGGATTTCCAGCGCCCCGAGCCTTACATCCCAACCAGCCTCGGTCATCATGCCGAATGGGTTCACGCCTGTAAAACGGGTGAGCCGACCACCTGCGACTTCGAATATGCGGGTTGGTTCACCGAGGCGAATCACCTGGGCAATGTAGCATTTCGCACCGGGCAGCGACTCGAATGGGATGCGGAGAATATGAAGGCCAAGAACACGTCGGCGGCCGATGAGTTCATTCGACGCGATTACCGATCAGGCTGGTACTTGTCGTAGAGAAATTTCTCAATTAGATGGACCTCCGGCGGTGGTGAACTACAATCGGCCAACCAACTTATTCGAAAGAAGTGCAAGTCCATCAACATCACTCGACAGAGCCTACTAATGAGAAAAAGCCTTGGAGTCACGCCCGTAGTCGGCTTGGCCGTTTTGTTCTTTGTTTCGCAGGCCGGCGTTGCCCGATCAGATGAAGCTTCTGAGTCGCCGAAGGCCACGATCGACGGTAGTGGCCCTGATTGGATTGCCTTGACTGGTGAAGACTTTGCCCCGGTTAATGGTGATGCTGATACCTGGACATGGGATGGTGGCTTCGCTACCTGTTCGGGAATGCCTGTCGGCGTGACACGCACGAAGAAGCAGTACACCAACTTCGAACTGGTACTGCAGTGGCGGCACCTCAAGTCAGGGGGGAACTCGGGTGTGTTTGCCTGGGTTCCCGAGAAAGCTCTGGAAGGTTTGCCGCCCAATAAGCTGCCGCCGCAGGGGATCGAAGTGCAGATTCTCGATCATGGTTATGCCGAGGCTTACGAGAAACGGACCGGAAAGAAAGGCGATTGGTTCACCACCAACGGCGATGTTTTCCCGGTGGGCGGATCGACAATGACTCCTTTCCCGCCTACCTCGCCGAACGGTTCCCGAAGCTTCCCTAGCAAAGACCTCAGCCGGGGCGTAGGTGAGTGGAACCACTATTACGTTCGCGGTATCAACGGCGAGATTCGCCTTTGGGTGAATGGCGAAGAAGTCTCGGGTGGCAACAACTGCGAGCCGCGTTCGGGATACCTGTGCCTTGAGGCCGAAGGTTCGCCGATCGAGTTCAAAAACCTTCGCATCCGCGAACTCCCTTAACGAGTCCATCACCACTTCTCTTTTCGGAATACCTCACTGAACATGGCAGAACGCTCGACCCCGTCGTTATGGCTCGTTGTGTTGCTGTCTGTCATGGCCGGTGGCATGGGATGGGGCATCCGTGGCCAGTACGGGCACGAGACCGGGGCGATGATCGCCGGTGTCCTGGTTGGCTGTGTATTGGTGCTGATGCTCTGCAGTAAAGCCCCCTCGCTGTTTGCTGCACGTGCCGTCGCCATGCTGGCCCTGGGGGTTTCGATCGGCGGATCGATGACCTATGGGCAGACTCTGGGGCTCACCCAAAACGCCGACATGATTGGCAACTTCGAAGCCTTGCGGTGGGGAATGCTGGGGGTCTTCATCAAGGGAGCGATCTGGATTGGGCTGGCCGCAGCATTCTTTGGGATGGCACTCAGCTCGACAAATTATCGGCCCGTTGAAATTGCGCTGCTGCTGTTGGTGATGCTATTCCTGCAGGCCGCGGGTAACTCTGTGCTGAATGAGCCGTTCGACCCCGCCAACCAGGAACTGCCCCAGATTTACTTCTCGGCCGACTGGTACTGGACACCCGATGCCGAGTTCAAACCCCGGCCCGAACGTTGGGGCGGATTGCTGGTCGCACTCGCAGGACTGTACCTGTACGCCGGGTGGATGCGAGGTGATCGGCTCGTTCGGTGGCTTGCCCTGTGGGGGGTATTGGCCGGTGGATTGGGCTTCACATTAGGGCAATGCGTTCAGTCTTATCATGCCTGGAACGCGGAGATGATTCGCAACAGTTGGCTGTCGCAGCTAGAGCCGCACATCAACTGGTGGAACATGATGGAGATCACGTTCGGCTCTGTGTTCGGCGGCGTGATCGCATTGGGACTGTGGGTGCATCGGCGACACATTCGCACCGAGCACACTATTGAAGCTCCGGAAATAACGCTGGCGGCCGAGTGGTTACTTGTGGCTATACATGTTGCAGCGGTCGTAGCCTGGAATTTCGGGTCCTACGATCCCCTCGATCGCTTCGCCGACCTGGCAATCTCGATGGTTATGATTCCCATGGTGGCGGTTGTTGCAGGGCGTTTGTGGCCCTACTTGTTGACATTGCCCATTGTGATTGTGCCGATCGCCAGCAGAACGTTGGAAAGTATCTGCTATGAGCGTCAGCTGTTCAGCATCGAGCTCGGCTGGTTGGTCTATGTGGCGGTTCCGCTCGCGGTGATGCTGGGCGGAGCGTTAATTCTTGCCCGAGGTGCAGACAAACCCACTGGCGGTGGGACATTTGCCCGCTGGGCACTGCTGCTGATGGCGTGGACGCTGTTTGCTCTGAACTTCGCCTTTTTCGAATTTCCCTGGCCGTGGGACGAATGGACGAGTCGTACCCCCAGTGGAATCATCTATACCGTGTGTCTGGTTGGTCTTACTGCGGCGGCACTGTTTGTCGCGCGCGATGCACCCGAGCCAAAGCCGGCTTCGGACGAAGGTGATGCCCAAGTCGATGAACCACAATCCTTCTCGGAAGAGGCGTGATACTTCGAGCGGTAGTTTTTCAATTGCTCTGTCGCTGGACTACGATGGGGAACGGTGTTTAGGCTCTCAACCAGGCGGGCGATTCAAACAGCAGCTCCTGAGGTGCTTCTATGAGATTCAGCTTTTTTTCGATGCTCTGCGCACTGGTGTTCGTGGCTCCCGCCGTCGCTGCAGACCGTCCGAATATCGTACTGGTGATGGCGGACGACCAAGGCTGGGGCGACATGGCCTACAACGGGCATCCGGCCCTCCAAACGCCCAACTTCGACGCGGCAGCGGCCGACTCATTAAGGTTCGATCGCTTCTATGCGGCTGCACCCGTCTGTTCGCCAACGCGGGCAAGTGTGATGACTGGGCGGCATCCCAACCGGATGGGCGTATTCAAGTGGGGCTACCCGATGCGGCCTCAAGAGACGACCGTTGCCGAGGCGCTGCGTACGGCAGGCTACACCACGGGGCACTTTGGTAAGTGGCACTTGGGCTCGGTGAGAACCGGCAGCCCAGCCAGCCCCGGAGCGAACGGGTTCGATGCCTGGCTCAGCGCGCCGAACTTCTATGACAACGATCCGGTGCTCAGCCGCGAAGGCAAGGCCGTGCAGATGAAGGGTGAAAGCTCGATGGTCGCTGCGGATGCGGCGCTGGAATGGATGAAAGAACAGGCTGAGGGTGATCAGCCTTTCCTGGCAGTCGTGTGGTTTGGCTCTCCACACTCCCCGCATGCTGCTGTTGAGCAGGACCGAAAGCCGTATGCTGGTGAATCGAAGAAGCTGCAAAACTTCTACGGCGAAATCACGGGCATGGACCGGGCATTCGGCAAGTTGCGTAGTGGTATCGCCGACCTGGGGATTCGCGAAAACACGGTTCTCTGGTATTGCAGCGACAATGGGGCCCTTCGCGGTGTTGGCTCGACCGGCGGGCATCGGGGAAACAAGGGGAACGTGTACGAGGGTGGCTTGCTGGTGCCCGCCTTCTTGGAATGGCCCACCGTGGTGAAGGAACCGCGAGTGACCGACGTGCGGTGTAACACGTGCGATATCTATCCTACTGTGTTGGCCATTGCCGGCGTCACGGTCGAGAACCAACTGCCGCTCGACGGTATAAGCTTGTTGCCGCTGATCGAAGGCGAACAAGCGGAGCGAAAGACGCCGATGGGATTCTGGGATTACACGGCCCGGGGTATTCGTACGCCGTCGGCCGAATGGATGGGTAAGTTGCTGGCGGCGCAGAAGGCTGGCGGTGATTTGCCACCCGATGAAACTAGCCTTCAGGCAGGCGAGCTTCCTTCGCCATCATACTCGCTCGAGAAGTACCCCGGCCACGCGGCATGGATCGACGGCGATTGGAAACTCCACCGCATCGAGAACGAGGATGGCGATGTGAAATGGGAGCTATACAATCTCGCATCCGACCCGGCAGAAGCCGAGAATGTTCTTAAAGCAGAGCAGGCTAGAGTGCCCAAACTGCAAGATGCGCTTAACGCGTGGCTGCAGTCAGTGGTGCGGAGCCTGAATGGCGAGGATTATTCCACCGAGGAAAGCGGCACCTAGTCACTTACTCTTCGGCAATGCAGTAGACATTATCGGCGCCACGCAGGAACAGGCTTCCTTGGGCGAACGAGGCGGTTGACCAGAACTGCTCGTCGATGGTGTTGGTGTCGAGTACCTCGAACTCCGGTCCGGCTTTTACAATATGCGTGGTGCCGGTGTCGTCGAGGCAAAACACTTTGTCTTCGTAAACCCAGGGCGTGGCCCAAAACGCGCGAGCACCTTGAAGACGCTTCTGGTAGACGCTTTCGCCATTCTCAGCATTTAGGCAGTTCAGCAGTCCGGTTCGTCGGGCAAGAACGTAAACGTAACCCTCGCAGACGACCGGCGAGGCCATTTGTAGATCGGATCGTTCACAGATCCACGCCACGCCATTGCTGGATACTTCACCTGTGGCGGGCGTGATATCACCGTTCACTCCCGCATTGACGGCGAACAGCGAGCCACCGCCTTCGTCAGGACCACCGTTTCGACGCATTTCGGTGCCGACGTACAGGCGATCGCCGTCGGGGGTCGGCGAGGCGGAACTGCGGCCACCGCCCATGTCCAATTGCCAGAGAAGTTCGCCCGATTTTGGGTCGTAAGATCGTACGACTGCACCTCCTACTACCAACTCGGTGCGGTGGCTGTTTTCCCAGATGATTGGAGTGCTCCACTGTGAAGGCTCATCACGAGCGATCCGCCAGACTTCGTCGCCCGTGCGTCCATCGAGAGCCACCAGGAATGACGACTCCTCATTGTCGACTTGCAGATACAACGTTCCGTCGTTAAGTACCGGAGAACTCGAGGTGCCCCAACCGGCTCGCATAGGAAAGGTGCCCAGGTCTTTTTTCCAAACAAGGTTTCCATCCATGTCGTAGCAAAACAGTCCCGTCATTCCGAAATAGGCGTAGACACGTTCACCGTCGGTAACGGGAGTCTCCGAGGCATAAGTGTTTTGAACATGCCTGGGGATTGGCGGGTTGCCTTCCAGCGCGACTTCATTCCAAATGGTCTCACCGCTGTCGGCGTCGATACAGCGAACTTCCCAGCGGTAGGTCTTGTTCATCAGTTCTTCGCCGCGACGATACCGACCCCGGCGATTTCCCT